TTTTGCAAGACTGTCAGTGGTAAAGTTTCATGCACATTTCAAGTCGGTTAGCTTGAAACGAAGCAACATAATGAATTAAAATTTCCACAAATGCAACTTAGTAGTTACTACTGGCTAAAATTTTGCGTTCCTCCTGTTAAACTTCAAGCCTTCTCCAGTTTTAGTCCTGTCTCTCGCATCCTATTTAACTCAGACAGATTTGCCAGGTCTTTCTCAATAGACAAAACGAGGCAGCCGTCTTCCTACTTCCAAGTTTCTCCTCCTAACACTGCTATTAAAACAGCAGTATTTTCTGAACTTCAAGTCGAAAAAAAGGATTTCCCTTTTCACGCGTAATAAAGCTCGCAGTTGCTTTCACGAAAAAAACTGCAAAATTTTGTCACCAAATTTTATGGATTGCATACCTGTGGTGGTGCCACCGTCAATCCCAGCAGGTGGCCGCATACTATGAACTGGATTGCCCATGCATTCCCTCGCGCCAACAGCACCAATAAAGCTATTCTTCGTGCTGCCATCTTGTGAAGCTTGCCGCAGATTCATAGCATCACCACCAGCTTCGCTGACAAAGCCACTCTTCACAGTTCCGTCCCACGAAACTTGTGACAGATCCAAGCCACAGGCACTGTTGGCTTTTACGCGTACATCTTGACTTTGACTGGCACCGAAATTACTCTTCACACCCTCATCCTGCGAAGCACGGCGTGAATACATGCAGTCACCCAAACCGGCCTTCACGTTCCGCGTATCTTTGCGTAATTTCACACCACCAGCAAATGTGCTGCGACTGATCGGCTGTGGTGCTGCAAAAGCAAAAAAAATAACGCTTTTATCGTCTTTCCAATGAATGTTACGCTGATTGAATGACTGATAAGCTGAATGACAAATCGCCAAAAAATTTAGCAAGAAAGATATTGTATCGCTATATCGCGATACAATCTGTTTGGGGATGAGACGCAGTGGCAAGCCTGGGTCGAAGCTGCATCACCACATCGCTGTAATTTTGACGATACATGATGATAAAGGAGATCTGCACGCCCTCCCCCTTCCCCAAGTTTCTGCGCAACAAAAAAACTATTCCCGGATCCAGTAGGGCAAAAAGTCATTTAACGTATATAATTTAATTATAAAATGCATTCGAGCTGGAAGCAAGATCCCATTCTTCCTTTGGATGAAAGCCTGCTCAGAAACGAAAAAAAAAAAAATCCGAACACTTTTGGAGAACATAGCTAAAAAGCAAATCTGCCTTTTCGGCCTTCTTAGATGCTAAACCTTCCACTGACTTTTTCCTCAGATTTTTTCTTAATTCACTTAGGCTCATTCACAATTCCAGCAGCTCTTAGTGGACAACTAATTACACTGCAAGGAAGATGAGCCACCGAGTGATTTAGCAGTGGGCAATTATTACTGATAAAATACGACTGTCTGAGTCGTTTCGTGTGCCTTCACCTCTCAATTAAAGCGTACTGTAAAAGAAGCTTTGTCTCTATCACAAGACTTAGACATCAGTGCAAAAATCAAGCTTTGGACTCATGTCAAAGATTCCATAGCACTTTTCTAAGGCCACAAACAATGAAGGCTATAGTAAAATTCACAAAAGCTGGGGTTCTTAATGAGAAAAGAACAGAGAGGAGGCACTCTGCACATATAAAATATGTAAACGAAGAGATGGA